CAAAAGACCACGCAGAACAGATGAACCGGGTAGTACAACACCTGCGGCAGCATTATATTAAGCCAAGTCAGGATGATTGGGACGAGAAGCTACCTCTCGTAGCCAGCCTGTACAACAATGTTGTACACAGTACCATTGGTACGACTCCCAACCAGCTATATCGTGGTTGGAAGCCCAGATCTGCGCTTGACTTTTTGATACCAGTAAGACAACCCACGGCAGCACCTGGCAGCATAGAGTTTGCTGTCAAATAAACAGATGCTGCAGCAGGCCGTTGAACATATTAGGAAATCTCAGGAAGCAATGATTGCATCTGAGAACAAACACAGACGGCCTTCTAACTTTCAGGTAGGCGAGCGAGTCTGGGTTAAGTCTGCTGAGCGTGGTCAGGAGTTAGGCATATCCCACAAGCTAATGCCACAGTACTTTGGGCCCTGGGAGATCTTAGACATTGTAGGAGATCAACCAGATGGTCCATACGTAATCCGCATCCCACCTCACTTGCGTACCTACCCTGTGTTCCATGCCTCTAAGTTAGCACCCTTCGCTGCTACTGAGCAGTTTCCCTCCAGAAGATCAATGCTGCCCCCAACCATGGATGGCGAAGTGGACGTGGATCAGATCGTTGAGCATCGAGTGATGCTTGTTCCTCGACCATCAGGCAGAGGGCGCCCTCCTAAACCAAGAATGCAGTATTGTGTGAGCTTCAAACACCATCTGGATCCTAAGGAGGATCGCTGGTCCACACGAGAAGAACTCATGAGAACAGCACCTCAAGTGATTGCAGGCTATGAAAGAGCACTCAAGGGGAAGATGCCTGCAAAATAAGAGACTTCTTAGAGGACTCACGAAGTAAAGGAGGAGGGAATGCGAGGATCTGTGTCCTCGGTAGGCCTATGGGGCCCTGTTTGCAGCATTGCCCGCCCTAAGTGAAGGCGGAGGTGCCCGCCCTAAGTGAAGGCGGGCCTAACATATGACAAGAGGCCCTCGACTGTCAATTTCATATTTGGGGTCCTGGCAGTTGCGACGCGCCAGTTGGTTGAGAGAAACTCAAGTAGGGCCACAAAGACATTTCCACGGCCTTCCGGTCTTTTCCAAAGAAGGCAGGCCCTGGGCGTGAATCGCAGCCTCATACAAAGACAGTTGGGCGCCCAACCGAACGAGGCCCAGCAGCCCAGTAGCTGCTGCATACAGGCAGCCTCCTGGGCCCTTCCGAAAGCTTCTGGGCCCAGGCCAGTCCAGCCAGGCTGCGCGAGCAGGCCGCCTCTTTCCATATAGGAAAGAGCTCTCCCCTGGCAGCCTCATTCGGGCACTCGCATGCTAGCGGCAACGCTGCTGGAGCAAGGGCTCGCAGCTGCTGGCTGGCGCTGAGAGGCAAGGTGCAGCACGTGTGGTTGTGCAGGGAAGAAGGGCGCTGCTGTGGGCAGCGCCATAGCCCAGCCACCATAGCTGGTGGGCTTGGACTACAGTGAGGCGCAGGGGTGGTCTTCGGGTGTAAGAGAGGACAGGCGTGGGAGTAAAGTCAGGGAAGGGTGAAGGATGATGATGATGATGATGTGAGGGCACTTACCTTGTATTGGCGATGGTCTGCATGGGCGACATCTTCAAGTACTTCGGGTTGCCGCTGATGTCAACAGTTGCATTGTCAATTAGTAGGCTGTAGTAGCTGTGTAGGAGTAGGCTGGGCGCTGAGCACCAAGTAGGAGAGTGAAGGGATTGGACTCGTGTTCGTGTGGAGAGAGTATGCTCTCCTGGACATTGATTTTCAGTACTACGAACCTCCATTGGTGTATTATTGGTGCAATGCTGCTCTCTGTATACGGTGTGCCTATCTGGCTTTCAATGTGATGGTGTAATCTGGATTATCATCTTGCTGTTGCTTATTTTCCTTGCATTTCCGTGAGAGTACCAGAAAGAAAACGGAGTGGTACCCAAGCTCGGCAAAACTCGGAGCGCAGTGAAATTCAGGGTCGGCAAAAACAGGCTCGGAGGTACTGGTGGTTTAAACTCGGAGCGCAGTGAAATTCAGGGTCGGCAAAAACAGGCTCGGAGGTACTGGTGGTTTAATGCGACATTGTGTTCGGAACCAAGATTGCGACTTTGCGACTTCGCCACTTTGTGTCTGCGTCCGTCGAGTCGTGTCGAGTCGAGTGAGCGTGTGTGTGTGCTCTTACTCCCTCCCTCTCTCTTCCCCGGCCTCGCTGCTCTGCCTCAGCTCCGTCACACGCATGCCCTCCTCCACAAAGTATAAGAGGCCCGTGGACTGCGCCGTGAGTTTTTGATATGGTCTTTTCTTTTTCTTTTTGTTTTTCAAATGGGCCCACAAGGCCCGACGGCTGAGCCTCGTCCGACCCCCACAAGTTCCAAAAAAAAAATGGAAAAATAGTCAGTGAGGTAGTAGTGGTTTAAACCACCACTACCCCCGCCGGCCTAAAATGAACTTCCCTGGCCTTACGGACCGGGTTCTTATGCGGGGCGACGACCGGCAGGAGCAGGCGGGTCCGGTCCAAGAATTTTCAAGTGCGAACTTTGGCGATTGTTCGCGCTCAGAAAAATTGGCAAAAAAATCTGAAATTTTGATATCCTATAGATTAGGCCGTGGCATAGTTGCGGCGCATCACGTGCTCGCAAGTTGCACACGTGCACACACGTGATGCGACGCATTTAGGAAAAAAAAATAATAATAAAATCAGAAACAGTAGGTCGTCGTACCCATAAGTGTCCCTCCCTTTCAAAAAGGGTAAGTACACAGAAAGAGAATATTTTGGGGCCTCGTCGTACTGCTCATTGGTTTGGTTCTCCTTTCCAAAAAGTACCCTGCAAGCAATTAGCAGGGTTTCCATAACCTTTGGAAGGATGTGCATTGGACTGCTGGAAGACCACGAGTAGGCCAGCAATATATCCAGCAATATATCCCGGATTTGGATTCAGGTCTGTGTTCCAAGAGTTATGGGTTACGAACTTACCACAAACACTCCAGTAGTTGTCTCGTTTTTTTTTTTTTTCCCTTTTCTTACGTGCAGTGGCCCTAAGGGCCTCGCTCCACTCATCAGCACTTGCAGAAAAGAAAAACGGATGGCTTGTATGGTTCCAGTTCCTAGGAGAAGATTCATTCTAGTTTTGCACATACAGTAGCTGTCTCCTTTTTCAGTTTTTCCTTTTCTTACTTGCGTGCAGTGGCCCTAAGGGCCTGGCTCCACTCATCAGCACTTGCAGAAAAGAAAAACGTATGGCCTGTATGGATCCAGTTTCTTTTTTTTCTCTCTTTTTTTTTTCTTTTTTTTTTTGACAGAAAGAAGCTCCAGTCTATTCGTGGGGAGCAGCACGTGCTGGGAACCGGGCCCAGCGTCCCATATGAACGTACATCAGTTTGTAACACCGGGGCCATTATCCGGCTTCGGCTGAGAAAAACCTGAGAATAGAAAATTCTAATGCTGATGATACTAACGATGCCAGTGATGACAAAAAAATGTAGCTACACATGCTGAGTCAGCCATACTGGACTCCTAATCCTGAACAACTCCAAGCCCTCCCTTACCAGGATATTGCAACTCGAGAACAAGACAAACCTATCCCCCCACTGCCATAGCTGATCTCTCCTCACTACCCAGACTAACCCCACCCCATAGGTTGTCAAGGTAGCCTCTCCTGGTTTACCATTGGCTTGCTTTCCTCCCTCAGCAAACCCCAGCTCTCTCTACGAGGCCTCCCACCCCTGCCAATTACAGGTTACAGGGCTATGCCCCAGCTCCGGGCAGCGTTGTTCTGGCATCGGCAATCCAGGAGCACAGAACAAAGCCACTTCAGCAGTTATCAGTCTAGGTTCGACGATCCCTGAATTCCTATATCCCAAATAAAGAAGAAGACCAGGGGCTGCCAAGATTGTAGAGCAGCAGGTGGCTGGTTTTGAAGTAGTGAACTGTATTGAAATTATCAGATCTTTTTTTGACGCATCGAGTTTATTAGATCGTGAAAAGGATATGCTTCCATTGGTCACAGCTCAAACCAATCCATACCCACTGTACCCTGTCTCATGCTGCCTCCACCGAGGAAAATCCCTCGGCCCCAACATAAAACAGATCCCCTCCCCTCCCTCCACCACATCCGCGAAGGCAACCAATCCCCTCCTAGAGGCTGCCTTTGCCCACCCCTTGTCCCTGTCTGCCCCCGCTGGGGATGAAGGCGACCAACTCTCCAACCCCGGCCCCAGACTCAGACAATCCCCAATCTGCCCTACTCCCAGTGGGGCTACTGCCTCCCACCATGCAACACCCCTGTAGAATAAGGCTCCCCTGTAACAGACCCCAGGGTTAATTTTTCGGGGACAGCTAACTAGTAGTCTATACCCACAACTGGCCAGCCCTATCCCTCCTTCCCCTAGCTTACCCAAGGCCAGGCGGAGGCCAGGCTGACAGTCCTACCGTCCTTCCCCTGGCTTGTCCCCTAACTTAGGCCAGGCGGATCTCAGACCTGCTGTGAGTAACTACCGTATGTCTGTACCCTGGGGTCTCAACCCCCCCCTGCCTACCAAAATTCCAGCCGTAACCTCCGAAGTCCTATCCCTACTAAAGCATCTGCAAAATTCAATGTTCAAAATCCCCAATTAGGAAAAGGAAACTCATAAAAAAACAAAATAAAGAAAATTCTCCTCAAGAAGTAAGTAATCAAGAAGTAGGTAATCGGGATATAGGTAATCAAAGTATAGGTAATCTACCTGGATGTAAACATTAATGACTATTGGATAATTGGGTAGCCGAAAAGGGTACGCTGAGACTGAAAGTTTTTAGATGATTTTAGTATTGATGATGGTAGTGATGATGATGGAATTGATGATGATGGAAGTGTTATGGATGACTATTTGAGTAAAGCAAGCCTAAAGATAGTAGATCAACTTCGCCTACAGATGAATTACGACTAATGAAAAAATTGTGATGAAGGTGAGCATGCTACTGAAGCTGCCCAAAAGAAATATTAATTGCTGACCTAAAATGTGGATCCAGTTTCTAGGAGAAGATTCATTCTAGTTTTGCACATTTGGCGAGCACAGGAGTGAAGCCCTCAAAATCACATGCTGAGTTAGTAAGTCAGTAACCCATAACCGCTGAAACACGGACCTGAAATCGAAACTACACCATATGTAGCTATCCTACTCCCTACTTACGAATCCAGTGACGACCCTTCCAATGACCACCCCGTTCCTGCCGAAGGGACCCTTGCCAATTTTTGGCAGGGACCTTTTGAAGTACCGGCAGGGGTTGTCTGAATAATGTGAAAGGGCTCTGTGCTCTCTCTCTCTCTCTCTCTCTCTCTCTCTCTCTCTCTCTCTCTCCAGCGTGTATACACACATCACGTTTTTTTTTTTTTGTGTGTGCGTGCACCTGGGATTGGCGCACTGCGCAGCACACTTCACCTACGCGCCGCAAGTATAGGCCGTGGTCTTTCCAGGGAAAATATCAAAAAAATGAAAAAAAAAAATCGACCATGAAGTAAATGCTGTGCCATTTCGTCACATTTTCCATTTTTGTTACTCTGCAACGTATGGGCCATCGGGAAAAATAACCCAACTTTCGCGATTTTTTCGATCAGAATAATGACCCAACAACTCTGAAATTTTGAGGGTCTGTAGATTTTGTCATTATCTCTACAGGAAAAATATTAAAAAATAAAATAAAATCATTTGAACCGCAAAATAAATTGCAGGGGTAATTCGACTCACTGTGTTACCGGTAGCCCTCATGGACCTGTGCTACCGGTTCCCCCTAATTTATGACAGCGGGGGTAGTGGCGGTTTAAGGGATGTCTAGCAAAAACAGGAATACCACAGAAGCAAATGCACACACACACGCAAACACACACAAACACACACATAATGATTCACAGATGGAATGAGAGAGAGAATTCTGGGTTTCAACACACACACACACACACACACACACACACACACACACACACACACACAAACACACACACCTTGCTGATGAAACTTCTGTCAGCTTTCCTTCTGTATTCCATTGCCCTCCTTGTCCTTGCCCTCTTCCTCTGCCTCGGACTCTACCCCTTCCGGCATTTCCACCCCTGAATGCTGCAGTTCTTACACCAAAGCCTCCTCGTGCTTGGCCCCTGTGTCCTCGGCTGCCGCGTCCACTCTGTCCAATGATGAGCAGTTACAGATTATTGTACATATCATACTATATCCTAGAACACTCAAAAACATACCCAATTTTACAGTGATAACCAGTGCTGCATGCCCAACCTGCCAGCTGATAGACCAGTTAGCAGGCAGCCAAGCACCTCCAAAACATATCAGGAAAGATTTCTGAAGATAGAGAAACTCCATGCGAAGGCAAATGATGCTAAGAAGTAACGCGAGTGCCAAAACATGATGCTAAGAAGACTGAGAAACTCCATGCCGAGGCAACTGATGCTAAGAAGTCAAGCGAGTGCCATCTCGGCGTTGTACATCTATATTTTCCATACTTGCGGCGCACCGGCACTGTGCGCTGCGCGGACCCAGGGTGCGCGCGCCGCGTATCTGGGTGCGCAGTGCGCGCTGCGCACGTCTGGTGTGCTGCGCGCATGTGCGCGATGTATATTTCCATGTTCTAGCGGTAGATTCATTTGATTTTGCTCTCTCTCTCTCTCTCTCTCTCTCTCTCTCTCTCTCCCCTCCCAACTTCTTCCGCC